AAATCTATTATCTCATTAGAGGTTACAAAATGGTGATTTTGTAATTCTATCATTCCATTTGCATTTGTTAGCCAGAATATGTTGATGATGAATTTAGGCTTAATCATAGTTGTTTAAAAAAAAGACAGGATAAATCGTTGACTATTTTCTTTCATTTATTACGTAATGATATTTTGTACTTTCCTGTATGGATCCCTAACAAATTCTGGATCTCTATATGATTAGGGCTCTACAAGCTTTGCAACAAAGAGTTGCAAATAAGGAATTATGACCCTGGAGTCAGAAAGTACAAACTTATTTCAATCTCTACTTGGGGAATTATAGAGAATCTACTTAATGCCCTACAATACTTCATAAAATTCCTCATACTCTTCCTTTCTAGCTTTCCTTCTCCCTCTCCTTCTTTGTTCTTTATTAAAACATCAGCTTAGCCTCTATGCCCAAGTCCTTCCCTTTCCCAGCCTCTCAGGCTCTGGCATGCTGCAGTTCATGGTGTCACAAAGAGTCGGCCACGACTTAGTGACTGAACAAAAACAACAGGCTCCACATCTCTAACTATTCCCCTCTCCCAATTCTGATTCTGCATAACAAGATGTCCAGAACTGGACTATAAAGACTGAACTCTTTAAACTGGAATGTGGGATTGGATTCTGAGCTGGAAACCTTTTGGTGAGTTGGTAAATTAGGAGAGGAAAAAGGGCTGGGGGGAATGCTTTCATTGGGACTTCTCTGGCAGTCCAGTGGTTAAGACTCCAGGCTTCCACTGTAGGGGGCATGGATTGGATCCCTGGTCAATGAACTAAGATTCTACATGCCACATGGCACAACCAAAAAAAAGAAAAAAGGAAGGAATACTCACACTAAAAAACTTCATTTCCATCACATGTATTTTCTGCAATAACATGCATCACACATAGTATGATAAAAATTAAATACATAAAATGTTTTTAAAATAAAAGAGATGGTAGGGAAGGAAATGAGCACAATTCCTTTTCACTTTCCTGTTACCCTTCCTTTCCAGATACACTGCCTGCTGCATCCTTGACCTGCTGTTCCAGGGAAACTGAAGTGGAACCTTGCCTCTGACTCAGGATTCCAAGTGTTTCCCACCCCCACAGTCCTGCAGTAGGGCTGGAAGCAATGTAGTCTGCTCATGTAATAATGCAGAGGAGCCTCTGAGAAAGGCCACTGGGAGCCTGCCCAGCTGGAGAGGCTGTTGCTTTGGGTTCTCACTGGATGAAGTTGCTGGACTCCTCATCCTCTCCTGCAAGAAGCACTGTTCAATTTATACATCTTTGTATCTCTTAGGGAAATCTCAAGGCATGAGGAGGGTAATGAAGACCTCTCTGGGTTTCCTCCCACCTTGGGAGTCTGGATGGGAGATAGCCAAGCCCCAAGATACAGGGCCCCACATTACCCAGACTTATCTGTTCAGGCCCTACAAAGACTCTGATGGCAAGTCTGAACTAAACCAAGTGAATGCTCCTGGCTGGATTTTCACCTGTGTGGCAACTACTAGGAAAATGCAAGTGTGGGCAGATATTTGTGGTCTCAGGCTATGTAAGCAGAAGTCCCCAAAGACATGGAGAAGCCTTGGTGGCAGCAAGACAAAGTGGTCGAGCATGTGTGTTCTGAGGTCACACGTCAAATTCTAATCCCTCATTCTGCCACTTACATTACTTAGTGATCACAGGCAAGTTTTCTGCTTCTCAGTTTTCACCTCTAGAAAATGGGCATAATGGTTCCATCTCACTGGTTCGTGGTGAGGATTAAATGAGACAATATCTACAGAGTGCTTGGCCCACTTCTATTGGGAGCTATGGTCATTGAGGAGCCCCATAAACCTCAGTTTTGTTTTCTCTAAGACAGGGGTACCAGTAAGATCTATTAAATGAGGTAATAAAGGAAGTGTGGTTGACACACCGTAAATAAATATTAATACTATTAAGGCATCCCCTATTTTGCTTGAGGTCACAATCTGAGAGTTCCCGCCTCCTACTGCTTCCTACCTCACCCTGCTTCAGTTGCCAGGAAATGACTGTTTCCACCTTTTGGATAAAAGGCCAGAAGTCCCACAGAAAGAAGAATGACACCCAGAAAAGAGCATGACAGGACATCAGTGGCCTTCCTCCCTCCTAAGACTGCCTCTCATTCCAGCCCCCTGCACTCAAACCTTGGGCTTTCCTACTAGCCTCTCTCCCTGGCATACCTTTTGCCCAAGGGTTCATTTTAGAGACTTCTGTAATCTCCAGAGGATCAGTATTAATCTTCCCGACCGACAAGATGAGTGGCAGCTGGAAGCCAAGTGCTTCCCAGCCAGAGAAATTTTCTGTTCGGTGTCTCTCTGCCCCTCCCTTCTGCGGGGGAGCCGAATGTGCTCACTCTGGAGGGACTGAGGGAAGCCGGGGCTGGCGCTAATGCAATTTTGTCTAGATGAGGCTGGCAGCTGGGAACCACTTTCCCTCGGCTTGCCCTCTGCCGGGGAAACTCCATGACGGAGACAAGGCAGCTGGCAGCGGGAAACCTCAGGTTTGAGGATGAGGATGTGCCACTCAGGGCCACACAGGACCCCACAGCCACATGGACTGATGGTGATGCCCATTGCGTTCCTGAGGACCTCCTAGAAAGGGAATACCTTGGGACCTGGGGGCAAGTAGTACAATCACAAATACAAAGGAACACAGGACTTTGTGAGGGATTGGGAGTCTGAAAGTCTCAGTGCCATCACTTCAAGGCCATGTATTTTTGGACAAGTTGCTTGAGAGCTCTGCCCAAATTTTAGTTTCCCCACTTGTAAAAGGAGTGTTTTAATACTTCCCTTGAAGGACTGTGGGAAGAATTAGTTGAAATAATATATGGGGAAACTGGAACATGGGAGATGGTTAATAAATATTCATTTATTCCACAGGGCCTGAGGAGAAAGGAAATCACTGGATTCTGGAGGCTTTTTGGGTTTATCAGTTTATTCTACAGGTTTAAGCACCAGGAATCATATGATTTGTTGGGTGCCTGATTTAAGTGAAGATGTGTGCTTATCATTCACCACGAGATCCAGAGTATCTCCCTAAATATTCTGAATCTCAGAACTGGTTTCTCTGGTGGCTGAGGATCAACACACACAGGACAGAAGGAACAGAAGGAACCTGTTCCTCAGAGATCCAATCAACATCTCCCTTAAGTCCTTTGCCCTCCATGAACTAGTCCTTCTTTTGTGCCACCAGCATCACATCCCCATTCTGGGGGAGGCCAGATGACACAGCTACATGTCACCCTGTGATCTACATGGGGGAGGTGGGGGGAAGGAGCTGTGTCCCCGCTGGAACTGAAAAACATCCTTGAGGGCTGCAACTTTTACAGGCAAGGTTACCATGCCAACGACAGCCTCCTTGCCCAGCAAGGATGAAAGGAAACAAGGCCGTGGGTGACACATCTATTGTGTGTGTTCACAAACTTGCCTGGAACCTCTCAGGGGTTGCAAACTGCAGGATGGAGCTGTGACTGAGAGGCAAAAAGATTCTGGTTAGATTTATGTGGAACTTCAGGACAGGCAGAACTGATGAGTGCAGAGCAGGGCCAAGAAGGGAGGGTTGGGAAATGTTTTTCTGAGATTGATACCCATCTCTTGGTGAAACGTGTGGGTGTGGTACTGACAGGCGTGGGAAGGTATGGTGTCCTAGATACCAGGTTCTGGCTGTGATGGGAACTTCAACTTCCTCCAGGTTGTTTTTGCCCTTGCCAGTGTGTTCAGGTCATCGAGGCTCTAGGGTAGGTAGAGAAGAGCAGGCAAGGATGGCAACTCACTGGCGGTGGTGGCTGAACTGAGAAAGGGGAGCATTAAGGGCCACAGATATGCCTCTGGAAGAAGAACCAAATATTAGCAACAAGGTCCCATACATTCTAAAGAAGGGACAGTCTTCTCCAAGAGAGTAGGACTTCCAGGAGGAATGGCCAAGTTTACTTAGCCTTTCTTATCTCCTCCCCACTGGCAGGATGGGAAAGTGCCCAGTGAACGGAAGAACTGTCATTAATTAAGCACCTCCTCCATATCAGGGGCTCTCTTTCTCTCTCTCTCTTAAACGCACACACCAGTTTCATTTGATTACCACAACAACCCTGCAAATCGGGAATTATTATCCCCATTCTACCGATGAGGAAATTGAGATTTAGGGAAGGAAAGTAGCTTTCCCAGCATCAATCAGCTGGAAGGGGAGAAGCTGGGACTGAAACCCCATCTTGTCTGACTCCAGAGCTTGGAAAGAAAAACTCTAGACTTTAAGGTAGCCCTATTTTCTTCAAGAAAAATATTTTCTTGAAAGCGTCAGCTCCATATAGCCCCCCAGGCACCTAGTAGGCTATAAAGAGGCTAAAGGGACACAGCAAGGGAATGGAAACACCTCGGCCCCTCTCCCGCCACACACAAATGTTGGATTAATGCGCTGCCACTGAGGGCAGTGCCGCTCCTGGCGGTGCTTAACAGGTATCCTCTCATTTTATCCCCATTTCCTTCGGAGGAAGAGGAATCCGAGGCTCAGAGACCAAAGTGTTTTGCCACAGAGCGAGTGCTGGGAGCCGGCAATCCTTCTCCGCTCTGTCTGTCGTCAAAGACGGCCTGGACCCCGCCTTCCGTCCCCAATTGCCGTAGCTCTGGAACCGAGGGAGCGGAGCGAGAAGCCGTGCGTACCTCCGACGGGAGGACGGGTCGGGCGGGGGTCGCGGCCCGGCGCGGGCGGGGTGGGGCGGCGCGGCTTGGCTCTGTCTTGCGGCGGCGGAAGCGACCTCCTTCGCGGGAGCGCTCCCCGCCCCCGGCCCGCCCCTCGCCAAATATGGCGCTTCCTCCCGGGGCCCTGCCTGGCGCTTCCTCCCTGCCTGAGGCCCATACAAGGCGCTTCCTTCCCGCCGCGTCTGGCAGGCGGCCCGCAGGCGGCTGTGGGCGGGAGCTCGGCCCTCCGGGTCCGCCCGCGCCCGGGAGCCCGCGGCCAGGGGACTCTGCCAAGGAGGGGGCGGCGGCGGCGGAGGGGCCGGGAACGCGTGGCTTGGCCGGGCTGAGGTAAACGCGGGATAGGCCGACTCGGGCGTCCCAAGAGGGTATGAGGTTGCCACTCTCCCCACCGGTTTCGTATTTTGTCCCACTTTACCCCCTGATTCTCTGAGCGCCGCCGACTTTGCTGGAGCTCCTCCGGCGGCTGCTGACCCGAGGCCTAAAGCCCACACCTTAGCGTGGTGTGAGGGCCTGGCCTCGCTTGCTGCGCGCCACTGCGCGCGCATTTTGCTAGTCGGTCTTAGGTATTTCTCTGCTTTCCGTTTCTCGCTCCTTTCTGCCATTATCAACCTGCCCCTTCTGCCTGGAATATCCTTTCTACACCATTCTGGTGGAACTGTGCGTCACCCTTACTTGTTTCAGACCTCTGGCCGTCTGGAAGTCCTTCCAACCCCCCACCCATAGGCCTCTTGTGCACCTAACACATCATTTATTTATTGAGACTGTGACTCCATCTTTACATTCCTGGTGCCGGGCTTAGGATGTGAGAGTTGTTATCAAATCTGAGCGAGGGGAAGGAGGGAAAGACCCTGTTGTCAGGCTAGCCTTAGTATCTTTCCACCTTTGACAGGGGTCCGCGACTTCAGGTCTAGTCCCAAATATCTTCACCGCTATGCTCCCTGTCAGTCTGGACCTTCATGAGCCCCGGAATCCGACATGAATAGTTTGGCTGTTTGTGGAAACTTGGAAGGTTGGAGTGGGGGGAGTCAGAGCTGGGGCAGGTGTACACCTGCGGTGGCACTGAGGTCTGAAGTAGTGCCCACTGGGTGCTTCTACCACCCAGAATGGCCTTCCTTGCTCAGCCTGACACCTTTGGTTTATCCACTGCAGGAAACCGCAACCCTTCCAGGCTCTCCTACAGCGCCTCCAGGGACTTAAAGATGCCTCAGCCACGTGATTACCCTGATCTGCCTGCTGGGAGGTGAGCAAAGGTCTGAGAGGGACTAGATCTCAGCAGAGACAGCAGTTCCTGAGCACCCACCCCCGAGCACTTCCAGAAATGCAATGCAACATGGACCAGCGTGTGAGCATTTGCTCCTCCTCAGGTGAGGCAGGGAGAGAAAAGCTGAGAGCTTGGGAGTAATGAGTCGAGTAAATACTGGGGAGGGGGCTTTTAGCACTAAGAAGCCTCTGGACTTGATCCAGAATAAAATCACTCATAGACTTCCAGTCTTTGGTTATAGACACACACACACTGTGAATAAAGTGAAAATAAATGGAATTTTGTCCGTCTCCCTGGCCTCAGATCAGCTGAGTGCCTGTGAGTTGAGTATATGGAGAGGAGATGATCTCTAAGGTCCATTACTGAAGGTTTCTGGGTTAGATTTTTGGAAAAAACTGGGCCTGGGCTGCACACGCAGGCACTAGGTTGCCTCTGGCCTTGTTCCCACCTAAGGCTGCAGGCCCAGAGCAGCCTCTTCTTTCCAGCTATGATCTAGGATTGTGGGTAATGTAGTCCAGTGGCCAGCTTCTCTGTGGTGCTCATTTTTGCCCTCCCCTCCTCTCCTTCTGGAGAAGGCAATGGCAACCCACTCCAGTACTCTTGCCTGGAAAATCCCATGGACAGAGGAGCCTGGTAGGCTGCAGTCCATGGGGTCGCTAAGAGTCGGACATGACTGAGCGACTTCACTTTCACTTTTCCTTTCCTTTCCTGCATTGGAGAGGAAATGGCAACCCACTCCAATGTTCTTGCCTGGAGAATCCCAGGGATGGGGGAGCCTGGTGGGCTGCCATCTGTGGGGTTGCACAGAGTCGGACATGACTGAAGCAACTTAGCAGCAGCAGCAGCGTATCCTTCCGGCCGCCAGCTACCACCCCCTTCTGCTCCAGGCTGAGGGCAGGACAAGGTGAGAAGGCGGTGCTTACTCCTTTCAGGGCTGGGAGATCCCCAGCTGGAAACCGGCAAGCTATTTATAGCTGAGCCTAGCAGAGGAGGAAGGCCTGAGAGGCTGGGGAGGTCTAGCAGCTTCCTCTCCAGCTACAGAATTTGCAGGAACCCCAGGCCTCTTCTGGGGAAACCTTGTGTTTACTTCTGGGTTGACATGGGTTTGAACCTGGAAAAACCCTATGTAGCAGTAGGGTTTCTATGTTGTTCCCTGTCTTGAGAGAGACTGATACTCCAGTGACCCTGGGTCCTAGCTTTCAGGCCTCTCTGGTGGGGATATTTGGAACCTGAGTTCCAAATAAGCTGAGACTTTTTGCATAAAAAGCCAATGTGACACCCAATATGACAGTTTCCTGGGATTTCTTTGCAGTTTTCTTCTCCTTAACCATATTATTTTCCTGTGCTTACCTCCTAATTCTCTTTTAGGACAGGAATCAAACCTTATCTTACCAATGGCACCAACCCTGTATTTATGCTATAAATGAGTGATCTTGCCCAAAGAAAAGCCAACCCCCTGCAACAGTATTAGGGGTGTGACTTTTGTTCCCCCACCCACCCAATTCTCTGCCAGGGCCCTTTGCTTTTCCTGTCAAGTATCAGATCTTTGTTTGACTAGGTCCGCACTAGATTGGATACTCCTTGTTGACATAGATGATGTCTGCCTTGTTGTCTATTATATTGCTGTTACCTATACAATAAACAGTTGTTGAATGAATGAATGTGAACCTGTGATAGCTAATTCTCTAGGTGGAGTATTTGATACATGCTTCATTGTCACAGTGTTTTACAAATTGGAAAACAGTTTCAGCCATTTACATATCTTTCACCAAGATCTTGATACGTGGTAGAGCTGTGTTAGGAACTGGTGTGTGACTTCGGAGTAGTGCTTAACTGTGGCATGAGACTGCCTGTTTGTTGGCACCCAGTAGAAACCTCTGGCTCCCCAGCAGTCAAATGGGTGAGGTGGGTTAGATAAGATACGTAGGCAGACATGGGCAAACTGGCCTGGTCCCATGATAGAGCTGGTGCAGCCAGCCAGAAGAGCTGCCAGGGAATCTTAAGAATCTTAATGAGAAAGACTTGCTCTGATCTGCCAGAGGGTAAGCCCTGAGGCAGTGACTGTGGGGCCATAGAGAGGCTAGACAAACTCCAGGGTCTGAGCAGCAGTGTTTGGGGTCTCCTTAGCTGTTACCAGGGACCCCCTGACTCTTGAATCCAGTAGATTTTTTTTCAGTCTTCATTTTCCTTTAGTAATTCTCACCAGCATGGACTTGTAAGTGACCATCTGTGTTTTTTTTTTTTTTTTTAATTTATTTGACTGCATTGTGTTGTGCATCTTAGTTGTGGCACCCAGGTTTCTTTATAGCCCAGAGCATGTAGGCTCTTTATTTGCAGCATGTGGGCTTAGATGCCCCATGGCATGTGGGATCTTAGTTCCCCAACCAGGGATCAAGTCTGAGGCCCCTGCCCTGAAAGACAGAGTCTTCACCCCTGAACCACCAGGGGTCACTGATTATCTCTTCTTGAAGGCTTTTCTTTCATTGCTTACATGTCTTGATGTTAACTCTTTATTTGGATATTAAATGTTCCAGTGCTAGAACTTCACTGGTGGTCCAGTGGTTAAGAATCTGCCTGCCAATGCAGGGGACATCAAAGGATCCCACATGCTGTGGGGCATCTAGGCCCATGCACCGGAACTGCCGAGCCCTCACACCCAGAGCTTGTGCCCCGCAACAAGAGAAGCCACCACACTGAGAAGCCTGACCACCACAACGAAGAATAGTGCCCCCACTTGCCGCAGCTGGAAAAAGCCCCAGCATAGCAATGAAGGCCCAGCATAGCCAAAAATTTAAAAAAAAAAAAAAATTCCTATTTAAAAAAAAATGTCCCAGTACTTTAAGACTCAGCCTCATGCTCTCTTCTCAAACTGCGCTGTGCCAGAAGGATCTTTTTGAGAAGCAGATCTGCATTTGTTACCCTTCTACTTAAAACACCTCAGCAGCTTCTCTTTTTCCTCGATAAAACTTCAAGGTCTCAGCAAGGCTCTTGAGGCTCAGCCCGGACTGCCTGTTCTGGCCTCCCTTCTCGCTTCCTCCACCACATTGCCCTTTCATTCTTTGATTCATTCACACTTCTCTCCACCTACCTCCTTAACTGTACTCCTTGCCACCGCCAACATATTCTCACTGCCTGAGATGTTCTTCCTCTTCTTTGTCTAGCTAATATCGCCTGTGCTCAGTGAAAGCACCAGTGTCTTCAGAAAAGTTGACAGCCAGGTCAAAATACCCTGTGACAGACACTCAACCTGTGGCCCTCCCTCAGGTGATAATTGGCGTTTGGGGATTCACATTCACTGGGATAAGGCATTGGAAGCTCAATGGCTGTGTCTCTTTTACTTATGACCGCATTGTAGGGTTTAGCACAATGCTTGGCTGTGCTAAACAGCTTGGCTATGCAGTTATTAATATTTTATGTGACAAATGAAATAGCTTAGTTTATTTAACAAAGCATCCTATTAAAACCTTTAAGAAGTTGAAAGAGAAGTGAAACAACATGCTCAAAGTCATGCAGCTAGTAAGCAGCAGAGTGGGACCTAGGTACGGCTCCAGTGTCTGTTGCTAACCTCATGCACAGTGTTTTCCTTCCACCTGTGAAGTATTTTTTGAGAGTAAAGAGGAACAGAAGAAGGAGGAAAGTATCTGAGAGACAGAGGGACTCTCTCTCTCTCCCCTCATGAAAATGTAAAGTGGGAGATTAAGAATGAAAGATTACATTTCACCAGAAAAGATATATGAATGGCTTGTAAACACATGAAAAGATGTTCAGCATGAAAGTGAAAATCAAAGCCAAAACCAGAATGACACCAGCAATGAACAATCCAAAAAGGAAATTAAGAAAACTGTTCCATTTACAGTAGCATCCAAAATACTAAAGTACCTGGGAGCAAGTTTAACTGAGGATGTAAAATATTTATACACAGAAAACTGTAAAACACAGTTGAAAGAAATTAAAGAAGACCTAAATAAGTGGAAATACATCTTGTGTTTATGGATTAGAACACTCGATATGTTCAAGATGATAATGCTACCCAAAGCAATTTGGAGATTCAGTGCAATTTCTATCAAAATTCCAATGTCATTGTTTGCAGATATGGAAAAGTTCATCCTCAAATTCATATAGAATTTCAGGGATCCCTCCCAGTACCTTGGTGTGTTCACTACACTGGAAGCTCTTGAATTGCATAATTTAGGGGTTTTTATGGAAGCATCATTATGTAGACATTATTGAGTAAATCATTGGAAATTGGTGATTCGATCTCAAGCCCCTTTCCCTTCTCAGGGTAGGGCTGAATGTTCCAACCCTGTAATCCTATTTTTGTTTATTTGGCAAGCAGCCCACATCTTGAAACTATCTGGGTATCTCATTAGTGTACCAAAGACATTCATCACTCAAGAGATTCCAAGGGTTTTAGAGAAAGTCTTTGCCAAGAATAGGAGACAAAGACCAAATATATCTTGCTTATTATATCACTCTACTCAACAATAAAAAGAAACAAACATGCATCTACATGGATGTATGTAAAAAAAATCCATCTAAATGAAAAAAGCTAAGTGAAAGAAACCTGATGTAAAAGACTGCATATTGCACTATTCCAGTAACATTAAATTTCTAGGAAAGGCAAAACTGTTTAGACAGAAAGCAGATCATTGGTTGCCTAGGGTTGGGAGTGAGCAAAGGTTGACTACAGAGGGACACAAAAGACCTTTTTGAGAGGTGGACATTGGATTATGTAATGTTTGCCTAACTGTATGAATTTATTTTTAAAAAATCACTGACCTATTCATGCAGTGGGTTGATTTTATAGTTTGTAAGTTATACCTCAATAAAGCTGTTAATAAAGAACAAAAATGATAGCAGGTTTTAAAAAGTATTTTAAAATCTGAGTAGTTTCCTGGCCTTTGGGTCAAGTCAGGACCAACACATTTGCCTTTCGAAACTCGCCTCTAACCTCTCCAGGCCAACTCTGGCTCACCAGGCAGTTTGGCCACCTCCGGATGAAGAGGAGGTGCCCTCCTCTTATCCTCTAATAGTCTTCACTTTTATTATAATACTTGCTGTCTCCTGCTGGAGGGCAGGGGCAGGGACAATGACTGTTTCTCA